TTTCATGATGAATTCACATGGTTGAAAGGAGCTGGTCTCATCATAATCATGTTTGGTGTGAGTTTATTCAACTGGTACAAGTAAGTCATAAAAAACCTCTCAAATCATTTCAAATGTCTTTTTTGACCAAAAATAATTTTATTTATTTATTTTTGTTAAAAAAATTTCTAGGTATCAAAAGTTCCAGAATAGAACAAGAAGCGGAGCTAAAATAGCAAAATCTGACGATACTACCCCTGCAAGATATGTTATTCTTGAGGATATGGAAGGCGAGGAAATTAGTCCTTAATTAATCCTTCATCATGTTTGTTACATTCTTCATTTCAAGTAAGTTCTTTTTTCCTGAATATTAATATTATTAAATGAATTGTTTTTCAATCGTTGTGAAATTACCACAAATCTGCAGATGGAAATACATAAATTTGAGGTGTTATTTACCAGGACTCTACAAAAAAAAAATGTAACAGAAATGCTATGAAGTATGAACCCCTTTTATATCATTATTAGTCTTCTTTTTTGTTTTTGTAGATCATATACATGTTCTAGGGGTTCATTCGTAAATTGTCAAATGTAATTTTGTTGTTGCTGCATAATTTTCCAAAAATGTACTTACGTATGATTCATCATATATATATATATATATATATATATATATATATATATCATTTTGTTCTTTCTTGGTGTAAAGTTACCATCATTTTGTGTAATATTGTATATGTATGATCTAATTGATATCCTAAAAACCCTTTTAAACTATGTTTGACATAACATACCTAAAAGTTACTAACCAATAAGCTACCTGAGAAAAATGACACAATCGGTAAAACTAACTGATAAGTTAGTTTATTTTAATAATGTTAAATGATATAAAAAGACATGTAAAAAAACAATAAAACAAAATATTCTGTTTTGTGACAAATTATATAAAACATAAATTTTTGTGTACCAAGAAAATATGTTGCGAATCACTTCCCTAAATTAATATATAAAATGATGGAAATATGATATTAACAAATAAAATTGTAAAAAAAGTAATTCGTAAAATGAAAAGGAAGTGATAAAAATTAATACATTGTATAGTTGAGATTTTTTGTTTTATTATTATTTTTTTTTAATCTTAAACGCTAGTATGTATTTTTTTATCGGACAATATAAAAGATTGAAATAAAGTCGTTAGTTAATATATGATAAAAAAATAGTCATGGTTCAGAACAATGTTATTAATATTTAGTAATTTAATAAAACACATAAAATATATATAAATCAAAAGGTTTAAAGAAATGTTTGAGAAAATTGTTTTGTTTTTCTTGTGACGTGGGATTAAGGATTTGTTTTGGACTTTACTATAAAAAACCATTCGTTCGTGATTTTATCCAAGAAACAAACGGTGGCCGAAATAGTTGAACGAGTTTAGGAATTATATAAACATTACAATTTAAAACTCAGTTGAATATTGTAAATTTGATTTTAATTTTTTGAGGACCAAATAGTCAGACTTAAATAAGTATGCTTCGAGCTAAAAAAATGTTATTTTAAATTTAAATGTAACGTTATCTAATCTGATTAATCTAAACTATATTGACTAGATTATCATATTAGTTGCTTCTAAGACGTACGACAGTTATTGGTGATCTTCACCAACAAAAAATCAAATAAGAAAAATATATTATATAAGAAACCCAATCAACTGGAGGTTGGTTTATCTTAAGTTGATATAAGGTACCATTATTTGTTACAAACAATTTATTGAAAAATATTCAATATATTTTTTTAAAACAACTAAATTATTTGCCAGGCACTAACATAAAATACATAAATAAATAGATTATTACAAAATGTTAATGATAATATTGGTGTTATGAAGCCAAACAACCAAGTTAACTTTTAGTTTCGAGTTTATATATGAACAATCCAAAAGTAAGAATGAGAAGTTATTTTATTAGAAATAGAATCATTATGAAATTTTTGAGAACTGTAATTTCAAATCATCTTTGTATTGTCATCTTTGGTAAAAATGCAAAGATATTTAGTACTTATAATAATAAAATTGTATGTTGCAGTAAAAAAATGATATTCTCGAGGAAAATGAGCTGAAATTGAAGAAAGCCGGATACTTGGAGTACTGAAGCTGAAAATAGAGAAGAAGAAAGAAAAAGTCGTGTAAAGTGCATGTCATGATGTCATGACGTGGACACAGAAGCTTACAAAGACTTGGGGCGTAGGCGTTTTAAATGAGGACCACAACGTGGTGGTCTAATTCCCACGGCGAGGCAACCAATTTTTGGCATATATATATATATATATATATATATATATATATATATATATATATATATATATATATATACATATATATATATATATATATATATATATATATATATATATATATATATATATATATATATATATATATATATATATATATATATAGGTCAAATTTCAGGAGTTGCTTTGGGAATTAAGTTAAGAGCTTCGACTAAAACCCTCTGAAGAACCCTTGGAAGATCAAAATTCGTTTGATGTTTAAGCATCGAAGAGATTTAGAAGGAGAACAACATTTAATCATCTGTTTTGCTAGCTTTAACCATGTCTAGTCTAATTAGCTTTGATTTTATGTTTCGTTCTGTTTTAGTTGTGGGGTAATCACCCTATACTTCTATTTGGAGAAGATGAGCCCGTATCCCATGTGTTGATTTTGAATTTATAGATGTTTTGTGTTGATTTTACTAGTTTTTGATAATCACAAGCCTAACATGTTGAAGTTCTAGCTTATATTGCTTATTATACACGTTTTGTGTAGTAGATGATTATTCAAATTGCATGAATTTATTATCTAGTTGTTTATGACTATTAAATAATTAGATGTTGAACAAATCTTAAAGTTAGGTAAATAAAAGTTAGCTACCTTGATTGTGTTAGAGAGCATAATTGACCTATAATTTGCTTTTCTTGATCTAGGATAAGTAATTCATAGATTTATCGTTCATAGTCCAATTCATGCTTATATCAATTTTGTGTCTAAATTGTGATTGATCACTGCATGATAATTCATAAATTGGCAAATCTAGGTATCAGATTATGATAACTAGTAATCTAATAAATTGATAATCAATATAATTTATTCACTAGAAATCAACCATATGAGAGGGGGGATTCAGAACCAAATGGAAGAATTCTTCAAACTTGAATTAAAAACCGTTTTCTTTGCTCGCTTAGTTTTCATATTTGTTTAATTGATAATTGTTTGAGTTAAGTTGTTGAACTTGCAAAATCAGTAAAAGGTAACCTAGCCGGACAACATCCTATTGTTATAAAACAAACGATGTGGAAGAAACACAATCGAACAATCACACGAGAACACAATCATATATAGTAGAAACCCGAACGGAAAAAAGCACTATAAACGGCCACTACTTATTAAAATGTTACATTGCTGATAAAACTCCAAAGAGATAGGAGGAAAAAAATAATATGTAGGAATGAACAATAATAGATAAAAGATCTAAAAGGCTTTAGATAATTGTCTCACACGAATCCTAATCATACTAAGAAAATCCTTATACTTAGGAAACATTCCTAAATAAATATGAGGTGTTTTAATAAAATGATAACTTCTTAATCTTAATAGGTGTTGTTTTCTTAACCTACATATAACAAATGAAATAAAAGGGAGATAATGGTGATAGATCAAATCTCTCAAAACCCACTGGATACAAATCTTTTAAACTCAATGCAAATACCTTAGAATATACATTTACATTATTATAAACACATAAAAATATTATAACGATGCCAAACCACTTGTGCCAAAATGGATTTCATACCATATCATGTATAACATGCTCCCTAATGTACTAAAAAAAATAAAACTGATACCTTGCTCAAATAAAGCTTTATCCAAATTAGAGATGAAATATTGAAGAAGTAAAAACTTCAAACCGAATGTCATACGACATAAATGTCTTTTAAGCAAAATACATCTTCGTATCATAGTGCTTGAAAAATACCCATAGGTATTAGAGTCTTGAGAATACCTACAACATTAAATTCTTGAAAATACATTATAATATTATAATGATTGAACAAGCCAAACAATCTTTAAAAATTACTTTTGTCCACGAATAAGTGATAGGATCGCATGATCTCAACAGCTCCAAAGCCGTAAGCCTCTGAAACTTGGCACTAAAAAGGGCAATAACCCGAAACTCCAAAAGAGTTCAACCCGCAATGTTGATTGTGGATGATTTCAAACATCATCTCCTCCTAAATAAACCAACGAATCATCATAATCAACTTGAGCTAAAAGAATTTTCACCTATCACTTATAAAGAAAAAACCTTATGCCATGATCCAAAAGTGGAAATTTATAAATGATGGTAGTCATAAAAAAACCATATTGACAAATTGTCATATATACTTCTACTATTCATATTTTTATATCTTTTGGTTTGTTTTTTATATATTTTAAACTTAAAGGTTTAGTTTGTTATAATTTTTTTTTTCTTATTTTCTTAAAATCTTAATAATAATAAAAGTTATCATAAATTATATCTTGATAATGGAATGTTGAGTTTGTTTGTGTTGGTGACAATGGTTTTTGATGGTTATTTTTGTATGTAGATGAAAGAAGAATTTTTTTTTTTAATAAAATAATATATAGATAGAGACCCGTTGTGAATAGAGATAATCAACTATTGTTTATTTTGACTAACAAAAAATACAACTCTCGAATTGTTAATTTCATCATTATCATGTAATTAAACAAATTAATCTTACAAAAACAAAGACTCCAGATATTTTTAAATAATTTCTTTTTGACAGAGGGAGTATTCAACATGAGCTCTTGTAGTCTGTACACGGTATTGTCCATTCAATATATCACGAACCTTCAAATTGTCAACTACAGCATACACAGTCCAAAATCCAAATCTTCTATAAATAGATAAACCTACGTATTCAGTTCTCACAGTCTCTTCTATTCTATCTATACATCCGCCATGAAAACACCATCAATCTCTACGTTCCTCTTTCCCTTATTCCTCCTCCTATCTTCCTACTCAATCGCCGCCCAGCCCTTCGACTACCCCACCGCAAATCTCTCCACCACCTGGACAAACGCCGCATCAGCACCCCACTCCGTCAGCTTCACCGACGGCTCAACAGTCCGAGCCATCCTTCTCAGAGGATCCTTCGGACCCAGATACGCGTGTGGATTCTACTGCAATGGAACCTGCACCTCTTACCTTTTCGCTGTCTTCATCGTGCAAACCAACAGTGGATCTGGTATAGTTCAACCCGCTATCGGATTCCCACAAGTTGTCTGGTCAGCCAACCGGAATCGTCCGGTCAAACTCAATGCAACGCTTAGTCTCACTACCTCCGGTGATTTAGTCCTCCGAGACGCCGATGGTAGCCAAGTTTGGTCCACTAACACCGCCGGGAAATCTGTTTCCGGTATGAACGTAACTGATTCCGGGAACTTGGTGTTGTTTGATTCCAAAAACGCGATTGTTTGGCAATCTTTTGATCACCCCACTGACAGTTTGGTACCTGGGCAAAAACTGTATGAATTAGGACAGAGGTTGACTTCTAGTGTTTCGTCGACTAATTGGAGTACAGGTTTGTATTCACTTCAAGTCATGAATCGGGGGTTGTTTGCGTATATTGAAGAAGACTCGCGTCGAGTTTATTACAGGTATCTGATCAATGGCACAGATAGAAGTGCAGAAAGAAGTTACGTTAGGTTCTTGAATGGGAGTTTGTCTTTGTTCATTCATTCTTCTGAGCCAAGTAATCCAGACGCTGTGATTCCTGTACCTCAAGCATCATCGGCTCAGTACATGAAGCTGATGCCTGATGGGCATCTGAAAGTGTGGGAATGGCAAGCGGGGTGGAAGGTGGTGGCTGATTTGTTCGGAGTTCCTCGCATGGCGTAATGAAAACTGTAATCGAACTTGAGAAGGATTATATACCATTAATGTTGATGTGATCGAGTACCATATGTAATAATTTGTTGTATAAATACATGCATTACGACTGAATATCTGGAAGTGGAATAAAAACGGAAATATATCGCGATTACTTACTGGATTCAGATGGAGGAGATATCTATAACTCGTATCATTATATGCTGATAAGTAACACGGTCGGGTAATTATGGGTATACCGTATACTTGTTTGTTCGACTTTTGGTATGATGATATACACTTAGAAAAGTAATCCACAACTATGATTAAGTTGATAATGTAGATAACATTTAACTTCATAAAGTTTAATTCATAAAGTTTAATGGATTGGTTTATCATTTTTTTTACTATTATTAGAATCACTACTAGAAACTTGATATTTAGCGACGGAATCAACTACGGCTTCTAGGGGTGTGCGCGGTGCGATTTAGAGCAAAAACCGCAAACCGTACCGCATATTGCGGTTTGAGTTATTTAGAAACCGCAAACCGCACCACGAACCTTCTAAACCGCATTATGCGGTGCGGTTTTGTGTGGACGGTTTATGAGGTTTGCATGCGGTTTTGAGGTTTGACTAATTATTTACATTAAATTCACTATACTATCATTGTTGTCACTAACGGTTCACTAAGTGGTAATTAAAAATTTTCGTGGTCATAGAAATATGGTCTTTAACTACTTATCAATATATATAAGTTTAGAAAACATAATGAAATTTTTTGGCCACTGCATGAATTTTTGGATAAATTAAATTTAAAGAAATATTGATTACATTTCAAAAACTTAAGATAATACCACTAATTTAGAATGAATTGAATTAATAAACGTTATCCTTGTCAAAATATTTTCGTGTGTGTGTCTATATATATATATATATATATATATATATATATATATATATATATATATATATATATATATATATATATATATATATATATATATATAATCATTAACTAATTTTATCAATGCAGTGCGGTTTGAACCACAATTTTATAATCGTAAACCGCAAACCGCACCGCATAATGCGGTTTAACAAAAAGACAAACCGTAAACCGCACAACAAGTGTTTTAAATCGTGTTATGTGGTGCGGGCGGTTTATGCGGTTTATTGCACACCCTAACGGAGTCTATCCGTAGCTAATCAACGACGACTTACCAAGGGATCAACGATGGAATGCACGAATATTACATATAATTTTAGAGAGGTATTAACGATGGATCATCGACTGATTGCTAAGAATTTCTCGACAAACACATTTCATCGTTAATCCATCTCAAATTAAAACCTCTTAGAGAGGGAATAACGATGGATTGCTAAAAATATAGGCCTGGTCCTGGCAAATCGCTCGCAGAAAATTGGCGCCTCATTTTCTCATTTCCCGCTTTTCTTCTTTTCTCGTTCCCTCGTTTTATTTTGATTCCCACCGATTTCTTTCCCAAAGCCCTAATTTACCCTATGTCGAATCAAATCCCTCTCACATCCTCTTTGGCTTCCCTATCGATTCGTCTCCATTCCTCATTGACTCATCATTCCCTGCCAGCACCGTTCAATCCTTTATTGTCTCTTCAGATCTCCTAGTATAACTGCTCATCAATCTCCACCTCTATCATAAACTCGAGAAAATTAATCTTAAGTAGTCTTCATTAACTTTCTGATAATCAGAATATTTTGATTTGAGTATAAATTAGCATATGGATTCTTTTCTAGATTTGAACCGATATGAATTTGGTACCGTGTATAGGTATTTGACAAGGGGCTCAAATTCAAAACGGCAACAATCATAAGTTCCAGAATTTTTGTACCTATTGTCGGTAAGTATTTTTGTTCCAATACTCTTATTTTCTCTATGCTTATCTTCTTTTTAGGATCCATGTTTGACTTTTCGGTCAAGGATATTGCTCATGAGTTAGAGATTTGTTCATGTTCTGTGATATCTCAAGAGTTAACATCCTGAATTTTTGTGGACAAATTCAATTTTGATGTTTAAACTGGATTTTATAATTCCAGGAGCGCTCAAGTGGTCAATCTGATGGTTTTTGATATGTAACCTTTGCAACAGTTGAAGATGACAAGACAAGCTATTGTTTATTACTTTATTTAAAATTTCTTATTATATACAAGATTGATAGATCTTCATACTTGTTAATTTAAATCATTTTATGATGATAATTTTTATAGGCTGCACTTGCGAGTGAACACTTCCTAAGGAATAGCGCACTTGAAGTAAAAATAGCTACACCAAAGGTTTTTTTCCAACACTTTATCGTATTTTACTTCTGACATTTTCATAATTTTAATCAAATTTGCTGTTTTTCTTCTTCTTTAGGAGGAAATGTGTAACACCGTAAATTTCAAAACAAAATTTTCAATTTTTATAAAACATAATTCACTTAATATTCATAAAACAACCATGTTTGAAATTCAATCAAAGTAATACAAAAATCCCAAGATCTCAAAATCATAAAATCCCATGCGTGTGTATTGATCATGCCGGCGCCTTCCCACGATCGTCACTAGTACCTGAAACAAATAACACCAAACACTGTAAGCACAAAGCTTAGTGAGTTCCCCAAAATACCACATACAACACATATTAGCCACTCGAGGCTATAACTCTGTGGGTCCGTGCACCCAAACTCTGTGAACCCTCAGGTTCTAACTCTGTAAACATGCACAACATAAATCACAAAGAATAATGCAGCGCAACACATAACATATATATATAGCATACAAGCACTGTATCACATAACTCTAGTTACCTACTCAAGGTAAAGTATAGTGGGAAGACTCACCTCGTGTATCTCGATAGCTCGCAAATCCCTAAACCCACTCGTACTCGATCCCTCGAGCTATAACACTCCTATAATACAATACATCTCTAATTAACATTTTCACAACTAAGGTTGACTAGCCCTACTAAGTCAACACAGGCCAACTCTGGTCAACGGTCAACTTTGACCGGACTCAGCGAGTACATAAGAGCGACTCGGCGAGTCTACACGTGTTCGCTAACTCCCTCGGATTCTCTCTTGGCACGTCGAGTAATCCTCTAACTCGACGAGTTCAACCTGGCATGAATCGCAGGGCCACCACGACTCAACTCGCTGAGTCTCAAAATAACTCGGTGAGTTCCAGTTTGACTCAGTCCACCTGTCAACCCTCTCTGACTCTCCCTGACTCACTGAGTTAGCCCCTTAACTTGGCAAGACCACTCACTGAGTGGTTATGGACAATCTTCATGCTACTCGCCGAGTCTGTTCTTCGGACTCGGCGAGTCTATGCCATGCATGAGCACAAACTCACTCCTGAGGTCAGATCCGTTCTAATAACTCCTAGATCCAGTCCTTCCAAGCACATTCATCACGTAAAGTCACAATCTTGGTGCTCATGCAAAGGTCCAAAGGCCTTATTTGATGATATGATCTCTAGAATGCTATTCTAAGCACATGGCCTCCATTAACACACATAAAGCTTGAGGGAAAAGGGTCTCTGGACCTCTTTGGGTCCAGATCTAAAGTACTAACACAAGAAGAGGCCAAATACTCCATGGATCTCTTCCACAAAGAAACCCTAACTCTAAGATTCACAACAAGGACTGAGAAAGGAACGAATGGATACCTCAAATGAAGTCCCTAAGCTCGGAAATCACTGGATTAGCACCTTCTTTGGTCTCCTCTTGCCTTGATCCTCTTCTATATGCAAAAATACCCACAACTAGTCAAGGTTCTTCCTCTTCTCTCTCACAAAGTGCTCACTGGTTCTTTAGGGTTCTCTCTGGGGTTGGTGGCTGCAAATGACGGCCATAAACCCCCTTAAATAGGTCTCATACCCCGGAAATTAGGGTTTCACTAAACAACGTGGACTCGCCGAGTCCAGACGCGAACCCGCGTCCAAAACCGTGATCCTACTCGGCGAGTTTGAGCTCCAACTCGCCGAGTCCACTCACAATTCTCAAAAAATACAAATAATAATTAATACCTGGAAATCCGGACTGTTACAAAATGAGAGCACCTTCACAAAAAGTCACCACGATATTTGTTGCTAGATTTCCTCCCTCAGTTATAGAAGATGAATTTAGGAGGTAGATTTAATCATTTTATACACTATAGTTTTCTTTTGCTTACAAAATGTTTGTTTTTTTTTTCCAGCCATTTTGATAAACTTGGTGAAATTACGGATTTGTACATGCCCAAGGTACATAAATTTTATATTTTCTTATGTTAATTTGTTTTAAAGGAACTTAATATTTTATTTTTTTAGAATCCAAGTACCAAAGGCATCGTGGAATTGGTTTTACTACTTTTGCAACTGCTGGTAATTCCATTAAAGATTGTAAAGTCCGTATTCATTAACTTTTAGTTTTTCCAAGTTTACCCTTTTTGGAATTCTTTATGCTTTAGTACTAATAGTCTATTTTTTTTTATATAACTAGGAGACTATTGACCATCTACTCTATCCTAATCCTGAATCAGGAATGATACATGAACATCTTCAGTTTTTCCATTTTCTTGGAATTATACTCGGAAAGGTAAGCTAAATGCTATTTAGTATTCTTAGGATCATTAGTAACTTCATGCAATTAGTTATACAAATATTTTTATGATTATTATGGTTTCCAATGTGCTCCATATGTTGAGTGGTTGTATTCTTTCAATAATTACTGAATTTTTTTAGTTTCATAAAGTTATATGCTTTTAATTTTGGGATTGTTGGACTTTTAAATTTATTATGTTATGCTCTATATTAGCATAACTATCTTTCATCTTAATTCCAAAATATATAGTTTATGTGCATAATCTTGTATATTTGGGAGTACCTTGTATTAACCTTATCTGTTTTATGGCACATTTTAAAATCATTCAATACAAATTGAAGTTCTTCATTTGTATATCGATCGGTTTATCTTTATTATAAAACTTTATGATGAATTTGTTATTCTTTGTCCTTTAATTCATTCACCCCTCCTTGATGTTGTAGGCAATGTTTGAAGGGATTCTTGTAGATATACCATTTGCAACTTTTTTCTTGAGCAAACTAAAGCAAAAGTAAGTTCTTCAAGGCACCCTTTACTTATATAATTATGTTGTCTTTATCGATCTTTTCATGGTAACCACGTTTTCAGTCCTCCTGCTATCTAAAAGTTCCATGTATGCATACAAATCTCACGCTCTAAGGGAGTAATCTGTTAGCATTCCATATCAACTTTCTGTTCAATACAAACAAAAAGTAAGTAGGCTGAATAGAAATAAAAAAAGATACAAGAAAGTAGTCAAATTATAGGCTTGACTGTGATTACTATTATCTTAAAATATGATAATTAAAATAATGGGATGCCCTTTGCAGAAATTTTTGATGTTTTCCTATCAATATAATATAAGTTTTGGTCTTCTTTTATTTGAATTGTGAATATGAAAATATATCGTTTAATTCTCTTTATCAGCCTCTTACATATTCTAATGAATTAGGGGGGGGGGGGTCAGCTGTGGTTGTTGACCGAGCAACACCCAAGGAAGATGATTTCCGGCCAGTTAGTCGGATGTCTCACGGTGGCAGTAACAGTGGTGGTGGTGGAGGAGGTGCATATAACGCGTATGTGACAACTAGATATGCTGCATTAGGTACTCCTACATCATATGATTATCCGAGCATCGTTTATGGAAGTATGTTTTCATTTTCACCTCCATAAAATTAAATTATAAATAATCAAACAATGTGTTTATTTCACATTGACTTTGACTTTGATTTTCAGGTTGTGTTTGCTGGATACTTTGAAAAATCACTTCTTCAAAGAATTATGGATTGCAAACCAAAGATTGTGGTAACTTGCAATGAGGTTAAAAGAGGGAAAAAAAATACTCAATCTCAAGGAGGTTGTTGATTTTTCACTCTCAGAATCATCTCAAAATGGAATATATGTAGGTGAGAACTTTTGTTCTTATAGTAGATGTTTTCAAAAAGCATATGTACATATATTTATTTACCTTTTCATGACATTGATTTCTATGCTGAAAAATAGATTCATGCTTGACCTACGAAAATGAATCATCCATGAAGAAGGAAGATACCAAATGGCAAAAAAGAAGAGATATTTGGTGGCAGGTAGTACTACCAATACTATTTAATTTCACAGATATTAATATATGATCATGTTAATTAAACTTTAGGCCTTTTGTAATTTTTTCCATTATACTTTTTTATTGCAAGATGTTGTTCCTAAATACTCTGCACTTTCCGAGACAATTGGAATTGACTATACTGACCTTGAAGAGGTCAGCAGAAAAAAGAAACCAGAATAAAAATTTCAATTTTTTTAAAATGAAAGTAGGAGGCTAACTCAATCTTTTGTAGTTGGAGTTGTAATGGAGTGTGTCTTTATTAACATAATGTTCAAGTTCTCCTAATGTCAATACAAGGTACATCTTTTCATACAAAACGACTAAAACATGCTTCTTCAATGAGGAGGGTATTTAGGTCATTTGTACAATCTGTTGTGTCATGTCTTGACAATTAGAACATTATTGCAGAAAAACATTGGCTAATGCTTTGCCAGTTAGACCATCAATGTGGACCCTTGGCAATGCAAGCATGGGAGCCTTAGAGGCAACTGATTTTATTTTCATGAGGAAAGGGTATTTTAGACATTTAAGTGATAGGGGTAGAGAATTGTGTGTTTATAAAATATTAGAGTTTAGGATAGTGATAGCTTTGATGTCAGGTACTTTTTAAGTTTTTTAAAATAATATTTCATGATGTAACCTTTAAATAATATATGCATTTTTTTTCATATTTGTCAGCATTTGATTTCCAGAGCTCTTGGGTGGTACCAACAATTGTATTGATAAGGTTTGTTGCATGCGATCAAAAAGGGGCCAATAGCACCAGAGACCATGAAGGTTAGTTATGTAAATTTCATCCTATATAAAATTTTTGCATCCATTTTTATAAATGCTTAATGTGCTATTCATTTTGGTATGTGGTTGATGGTCCATAATGGTTAATACATATGTTCAAAGGTTAAATCCCAAAAGAGAAATTTCTGAAGACCAATATGCGAACACGATATTATCTTCCACCAACATGTTTTTTGGTGGGAATCGGAATTCAATTCCATTCTTGTATTGTATTTAGTTTAGCTTCAAATGAGTAGACAATAATGTCCTTCATCAACAGAAACGCATGTCTCCCTCCATTGCAGGAAAAAGTAAGTAGAACTTGGTTCGCCTAATTCCATTGGATTTAACGGGAATCGGAATCCAATTCCATTTTGGTCCTTCTTTTGGATGCAATGCAATATATAAAGCAATGGAGAATATGTATGTGGAAATGCAAAATATGAGATGAAATATTATGATAAACATTGATACTTGATGTTTTTGGATGTTGTGTTAAACTTTGATATTTGATTTTGGTATTTTAATATTAGTGTTTGGTTTTGGATTGTATAATTATTTGATTCCTTTGGTATCAAATTTATATTGTTTAGTTTGGGATTGTATCATTATTTGATGTTTTTAGTAATTTTTTGTAATAAAAAAAATAATATTATAAATTTGCGAGGGATCAACGATGGAAACAAAAAAATCACATCTAAAATTTGCTAGTGATAAGCAACGGAATATAAAGACAGATTTAGAGGTTTGCAAGGGATTAGCGATGGAAAATTTTTGTTGTTGATGTCCTAAATAACGATATTATGAGACCGATTTGCGATGGATATTCCGCTGCTAAAGTTGTCGCAAGGAAAAACTTGTCCGTCGCTAAATCTCTAGCTAAGTCATTAGCCACGTTTTCTTTGGCTATGGAGTAACTCTGTCATAGATCTGTCGCAAAAGACCTTTAGTGACGAAATAGCGACGGATGCATCCGTCACAAAAACCCATGTTTCTAGTTGTGGCAGAGGATGTATCATCAGTTTTCATGGCAATCTTTAGGCGTTGGGTTTTTAAAGTATATTATCGTGAAGAAGTGTGAGGATCATAAGCACGTTCCAAAGGCAAGCCACACATCACGAGATATAGTGTCGTGTACATGTTGAAAGGATGGTTCAGAGATAGTGGAGACGAGCAACATATGAACACATCATTCGAAATCCAGATGGCATGGGTAGGATTGGGTGCGATTTCTCCTTCTTTGATGGATATTGTTGTTGCAGGTGATGGAATTATGCTATCAACATAGCCAAGAAGATTGTTTGCTTGTAAAAATGGATGGATCATTGTCTTCCGGTATCCATAATTATTAGGGTTTAGAGTAAATTCAAACTTGTGTGAATTGTGGATTGTTTTCTCAGTAGTTGTGAAGGCAATGAGTTGCGCCATTGTAGAAGAAAGAGGAAAGAAGAAGACTTCGTCAACAACAGGTTAAGGGGAGGCCGACAATTTCAGTAGGTTGTTTAGGGTTGGCTGCTACGCCCTGATACCACAATAGAATCGGTAATGAGAATTGTATTATCATTAACAAAATTACATAGGTTTACAAGGATATATATATATATATATATATATATATATATATATATATATATATATATATATATATATATATATATATATATATATATAAGTTTAATAGAGAACCATAAGAGCATCTCCAACCCATTCCCATTTTTCAATTATTCTCCCATTTCTCTCCAACCCTACCTCATTTATTTTCACATTTTTGGGGAAATGAATAGTATAATACCATATTTGGTGTTTACTATTCATTTTCCCCAAAATAGGGATGAACTTTAAGTTGTCAGTTTTAGTCCATCTTTTTATATATTTATACATTATTAGTTTATTTTATCTACTATTATACTTTAAATCTATTATTTAATACTTATAATATTGTATTATGTATTAAATTATATTAATTAATTATAAATATACAATTTATTTTTTGTTTATCAAAAATCATATGAAAATTTAAATACATATTGAAATTTTAAAATACGATATCATATTTTGCAAAAGCTTATAATTATGTGTTATAAATATAATCTTATTTATTTAATAGTATTGTAATGAAAAAAATATAGATTATATATTTGTTAAAACCAAACTAGTAGAAGGGGTATAATTGACAATCTATATAAGTTGGAAAAATAGAATATACTAGGAATATACTTTTTGGGGGTAAAAATAAGGTAAAAAATGGAGTAGGGTTGGAGATGCAATACTTATACTCTATTTTTTACTTCATTTTTGGGGGGAAAAATGAAAGTGGATTGGAGATGGTCTAATTATTGGTTCTTCAAGGAACCAAATATTTTTTTTCAATATCTAGAGCTTATTCTTTATCGAAAAAAAAATTTAAAAATATCTAAATTCATATAGTAACATTGTGAATGTGAAAAATATTTTTCGGATTCACGTTGTGAATTTGATGTAAAAAAAATCGAATTTGATATCATTGGAAAAAGAATAAAAAGTTATGAATTTTTGTATTTTTAGTTTTTTTTTTAATAAAAAGTAAGTTTTAAAAGTTGAAGAAAAGATTGGTTCCTTGGTTAATTGTGGCTCTCTATTGAACCTCACCATATATATATATATATATATATATATATATATATATATATATATATATATATATATATATATAAAATTACACTCTAATCCCTCAACTATCACTAATATAAATATTGTCTAATAATGTGCGATAAAAATCAGACAATTGATCGACGCTTGAATTAAAGCTAACCCAATCCAAACCGATTAAAATGCGAAGTAGAACAACTAAATATGTGTCGGTGTCGGGTTCTTTGTGTCGGTCTTCATCGACCTTGCTTGCTGCCGCGCTTCTCCTCCAATAAGATCCTCGACCGTCAAAAGATAATTCCAACTTAAACACATTGAAATCTCCGTCTTCAACTTCCACCTTCCATTTTTATCATCACCCGGAAAGAAAAATCATCACCCTAGAAATCAGGGCAAAAAGCAACCCATGTAGGTGATTGAAGTCAAAGGCGTCGGTGATTATGAGGAAATCGCTATAGGTAGAACAGATAGAAAAAAATGAAAGCGGACAAACCAGAGGTGGAATCCATGGAGGTTTGGAGTCGGTTGAGGAGACATCGAGAAGAGATCGAATATAGGGTGACAGTGGTCGGTGGAAACAACCCGTTTCCAAACCACCTAGTATTGGAGTCGGCTCCAAACCGGGTACTATAGATAAGCATGTTGTGATTTAATTGTATATATAATAAGATATTAATGAAAATACATAAAACGCACTATGGTAGTCAAAAGCCATGACAATATTCTCATGTCCCACCAAATCACCTATCATAAATGACTTTACTGATGGAAAATGTTTTCTAGAAACTTGATTATACATACTCATTTACTTTTCCAAAATTATCCTATGTTTGTATATATTTATCTCTCTATTTTATCTACTAAGGGAATTGTAAACAAAAAGCATGATCATAACTTCCCACGTATTTGATAATTATTAAAGAAATTCTTAGATTTTGACCTAATTGAAGTATGATGATAATGACCCAAATAATTTAATGTTCGTAAGCCATAATTGCATAGTATTGCCTCAGTAAATGTGCATGTTGATCCTTACAAATATTCCAAATATATACACCAATATTATATGAAAAATCAACATCACATCTAATTTGGATCGGAAAGATTGTCAAAGTTAAATGGTTAATCATTGAAGATTACTACCAAAAATGATACATTTCCTTTTGTGCCTTTAACATGGACTATCTTCATCTTTGAAATTGACTACTCCAAATCCATAATCTGTAAGAAATATAAGGTTGACTTAAATTAGGAGTGCTAATAAGTAAAAACATTACTTGCATATTTCAAAACGAAGTATGTGTTAGAAGTAACTAATATCCACCTTAATGTAATTGAAGGGTATCTCCAATTTAACCCTGCTATTACTCATATCAATATAAGTTTTCTGATTAATCAAAGATGAAAAAGTGTCCCTTGCTTCGTCAGAAACTGAGACACTACTTGATTAAATGGATCCACATTAAAAAATCTTCACCAACACCACTTAGTAAAACATTGAGTAACAACTCCAACATTCATATCATTTTAAATTCAAAACTTGTGAAATTAACAAAGTGTGAGATTAAAAACTCGTCTTGATTTGCGAATTTATTTTAAAATTAAATTAATTTAACTTAATTAAATACTTAATGTTTTCCTATTCCAATTTGACACTAAATAAGAATTGTATTTTTATATGGTGAATTTTCATAATATACATTAAAAATTCACGATAAAATGAAAAATTTCGATTGATTAATTAAATCAGATTGATGGACACATAATGACATTGATGTCATAGAAGAAGCTTCTGGTGGTTCGGTAATTAGTAACCGTTTCTACCCTTGCTTGAGTTTGGGTAATTGTGAAATAATCTGCTGCTCTCGTCAATCTTACTTGGCTCTCTCCTGTTGATTATACCTGATCTGATTTGATGGAGGAAGAACCCCTCTTGATCCATAAGTCGTCGATATTTTACAAACTATGACATATGTTTATAATAGGCACATTTATTTGTTACGTCGTAATTCGTCTGTCTCTAAAAGTGTTTTTTCTACAAATGTACATTTCATACAATTTAATCAATTTTTTTTACATTGCATTGAACTCTACAAAGTTCAATAGAAAAATTACAAAAACTAATTTATAGTGTGTGCGTGTGTGTGTGTGTGTATATATATATATATATATATATATATATATATATATATATAAGAATAAAAAAATTTTCTTTTTTCCCATTGAAGAGTTCATTGGCCATTGAACTTCAAATCCATTAAATGTCAAGATGACATCTAATTATGATAGAATTTAATCTATTGAATGACAAATAGGTTTGCCACCTCATTCAACTCTCCCATCGAACTCACGATTGTGGATGCTCTAACACATAACACACTCACTAATAGATTAAGCATGAAAAAGAACGTTTAAATTTTTTAGCACAAGGCCATGTGGTTTATAGCGTTTGGCTCTTTCTAGCTCACGCTCTTCTTCACATAGTAAAATTCATAGTAAAATTTTTATTTTTAAAACCATAAACAATATGATGGGATTTGAGCATTACAACATTCCTATGGTGCACATGCAACTCTATTTGCTTTGGATCTAGGTTTTCTCAAGTTATACATGCAATTCAATTTTCCAAAGCAAGAATCCTAAACTAGCATACAATTTTCGGATTTAACAATCA